CATCAAACGCCGACGCTCTTTCTCGTTGCCTACTACCTACGGCGTCGTTCGACACTCCAGCTGCCACCTCCAACGACACCAGTGCGGACGTGACTCCCACTTCTGTTGCCTTGCTCGCCTCGCTGTACCAACCGTCAATTGACGATGAACAACCCTTCAGTTCTCGTCAGTAGGCTGACCCTTTTTGTTGGCGCATTATAGACCACCTCTCAGGAGCTACGCGTCCACCCAATGCATGCCTTCGTCGACAACTCGAGCACTTCGAATTTCAGGACGGTGTGCTGTATCGTCACATATATCATCCTGACGGCCAACACTGGGTACCTGTTCTGCCACGCGCTTTTCAACATCATGTACTTAACGCTTTTCATGGCGATTTGACTGCTGGCCACCTGGGCTTTCACAACACCTACGACCGCATTCGAAGCCGCTTTTATTGGCCTGGGATTTCTACCAGCGTAGCAAAGTACGTGGGTTTCTGCTCTCCATGCCAACTTCGCAAACTTCCGACATCTCCCCCGGCTGGTCAGTTACAGCCAATGACGTGCCCTACAACACCTTTCGAGGTCGTCGATGTCGATCTTTATGGGCCCCTTCCTGTTACTGGCGCTGGAAATAGATGGATAGTCACCGCCGTAGACCATATGACACGCTACGTCGAGACAACATCAGTAGCTTCTGGTTCAGCTTCGGGAATTGCTGACTTCGTCCTTCAGGCCATAATACTACGTCATGGTGCTCCTCGTGTACTTCTAAGTGACCGTGGAAAGGTGTTCTTATCACAGCTTTTAGGTGAAGTTCTTCACATTTTTGGTACTACACATATAGATGGCGTCTAGCTACCATCCTCAAACTAATGGTCTGACCGAGAGATTTCATCGAACCCTTGCCGACATGATCGCCGTATACATTCAACCGGATCACAGAAACTGGGATAAACTTCTACCGTTCCTCACTTTCGCCTACAACACCGCTGTTCAGCGCACAACCGGCTACTCACCGTTTTATCTCGTTTACGGACGTTCACCTACTTTCTTTATCGATGTTTCCTTCTTCACCAGCTATGGCCCTCCATCACCATCTTCTTGCGAAGAATATATTTTCTCACCTTTCCCAGTGCCGCCAGCGCGCTCGTATGAACACGGAAGCTACGCAACAAGCAAGGAAGGCCGTCTACGACACCTCTCATCGTGTGGTATCATTCCGACCGAGTGACGAGGTGCTGCTATTGACACCATTCGCACACCTGGTCTCTGCGACAAGTTCCAGCCTCGATTCATCGGCCCATATGTTGTTTTAGAGCAGACTTCACCTGTCAACTATCGTGTGACGCCTCTTGTCGTGCCAACTGACCGCCGTTGCCGCTGCACCGAAATTGTACACGTTTCCTGCATGAAGCTTTTCGCACGATGTTCCTCGACACCTTGACTACCCGCCCGCAGCGACCAGGCTGGCCGCTTCCACGGGGAGGGGGGGGGGAGGGGAATCAGTGTAGGCATCTATTATGCGCTTCATCCTCATCTGAACAGCAGTCAATCATGATCATATGTTCTGGCTGACAATCATCATCTTCTTTGAACGTGCGCTTCATTATCGGGTGCGTTGCGCTTGTTCGTTCCCGAGTTCACGGCCAATAAACCTCGTTACAACCGAGTCGTCATAATATATTGTCACGGCTAAAGGCCGGGAAAGAAGACAGAGGATGATGAAGTGATGAGCGTGGACAGCACCCACGGTTCCTCCGAGGAAGAAGAAGTCGAGGCGGCTGCTCTTTTGTTCTGTTAATACAGACGTCGTTTTTTCTGGTCGCACCGTCGTCCTGTATTCTGTTATTTTCATCTAGTGACATTGGTGGAGGTGCTGGATATCAATTCCAATACCTCTCTCTCTCTCTCTCTCTCTCTCTCTCTCTCTCTATATATATATATATATATATATATATATATATATATATGTAAGGGAAAGACGTGTATACTTAAGGGCTCGTTTTTTCGTGTTTTGACACAATATTAATAAAATCTAACAGACAATAATGCCAAAGGAAGTATAGGGAAGGTTATTAGACTGAACCGTAAGGTAATTGTGAATAAAGAAAACTGGGTGAAAAGATAACTTGCCGTGGGCAGAAACCGAACCTGCAACCTTCGAATAACGCATTCCGTGCTCTACCACTGAGCTACCATGGCGGCTGTCCTCCCAGCCACATTATTGGGTATATATGTGAATATATATATATATATATATATATATATATATATGAAAGTAGATGCGCTTTCACATAACAACTGTTTATTGGCACAATAAACAGTTGTTATGTGAAAGCGCATCTACTTTCATATTTATAACCTTGCGGCAACCGAAGTTATTCTTCTGCATATATATATATCTATATATATATATATATATATTCACTTATATATGTATACTATTGTAGCTTTCCTACATCACAGGATTTCCCCTCCCCCGAAAGAATGTGCGCATTACACATAAAGCATGATGAACAAGCAGGTTTACAGTAAAAAAAAAAATCTCAAAATGGGCTGTAGTTCTGTATCGCAACAATATTCTGTAAGCTCGCACAAAGACTTCACAGAAGAAGGCAGCAATGTGGGGTATCAAGTACAGCTCTGGAGGTCGAAGCTAGCTCGTGCACTGTGGACAACATAAGCTTGCTTTGAGTGTGGAATCAGATGGAAACACAGCCGGCATTCTTGCGATGAATGAACATTGTGTGATGGACGTGGAGCATCGGCTGAATGTTTTGCGCAGATGTCGTGCTCTTTGTTTTGATTGGAACATAAGTAGCACCACCCGTTTGTGTGTTTTTTGACTGAGGCTGGTGCGGTGATTTCAGTGTTTTTGCGGAATACAGGGTGTGGTTTGGCACCTTTCTCGCCGTTGTATGTCGTGCTGCCTGAGTCCTAATCTAGACTGGAGAAAGCTTATTCAACATCCTTTGGGAAAATATCCTGGATTCGGTGCTTTCTTTGTTTCAAATGAGACATCTTGATTGTGTCGTCGATTTGGTTGACTCATTTGTAAACATCTTTCTATAAACCGTGTGTGTTCTTCCGAAGATGATTCCGATGATTCCGATCGTCGTCATCCTTGTTTGTGTAGTCCTTGGAGAGACTGTTGTTCTTGGGCTTGCTTTCGCTGGCACTGTTGGTGTTGCTGCGGAAAGAGCTGAGCTATACGTAGCCTTCACGGACTGTGAGGAACTCCTTCTCACAATCTATGAAGGCTATGTATAGGCGTTGGTTGTATTTCGAGCATTTCTCTACTATCTGATTGATTGTATGAGTGTGGTGGATTGTTGAGTAGCCTACTCAAAATCCTGCTTCTTCCTCTGCTTGTTTCTTGTTCCTTTAAAAAATCGCCCTTTTGTTTCTTTTCCCTCTGAACGGTCACGCGTCTTCCGACAAGCAAGGCAAAGTTCGCTTTATCGTCTGCTTGCATACTGCTCCAGTCGTCGCAACAAATTTCAGAACATGAGTTCGTAGTACTGAGGTGTTGATAATATAATGTGGAACTTAATTCATGCTCGTTATTCGGAAAAGTTCGATATTCTTAAGTACGTAGTAGTGAAATAATTTTGCTTTCAACCTGTTAGCACTCGACGCTGGATTTTTTTTAAAAGTTCGTTATTCTGAAAAGTTCGTCAATGTGGGGTTGGTTCTATCAAGATTTCACTGTATATTCGCCGGCAAACAGATCAAGTAGAAACTAGCTAGCACGACTGTCTTTCACAGTAGCAGAGTAGGCAAGCTAGCTAGCGATTTCACGGTAAGCAGTTCGGAGAAGCGTCTTAAGAATGTGCGTTCCCTTGATACCAAACACTATTGCAAATGCTATACATAAAAAGAGAGAAGAAAGTTAGTTGAATGGCCACAGGCTTTTGCCGAACACAATTTGGAATTTACGAGATATTCCAGTGCGATCTCCTCCGGGATCGGAGGCATTGCAAGTTTCCTGCAACTTCGTCACGAGGCCACCTTTGTCCAAGCAATGATCCCATGTGATGACGCTATCATGCCATGGGGAGTTGTGTGGCATTGTAATGCCTTCATGTATTTTTGCAATCTGTTACATCATGACGTCACCATGTGGTGGCGTCGTCACGTGATTATTTTTTGTATTGCTCGTGTTGATGCAGATGGCAATGTTCAATTTTCATGTTTGTTAAGGCACCTTAACGTGCATTCTATATAATTTTCTTCAGTTTAACCTACCTGCAGCAATAAATTTCTGAATATACGAATATTTCGTGTAGTTTACCATGTTTGCGATTTTTTTCTAATGTCCTTTGACAGTAAAGCAAAATAAGATACTTATATGACATCATATTTCACTTCTTTTATGAGAATAAATATGGGACCACAAAAGGGCACTGTGTGCATTTTTTTGTTTTTGCTAGATCCACTAAATGTACAGTAATTGTGAGATTGGTGGAAAGGGGGGGGGGGCTGTTCGTGTTATAAAGATGTTTATTTTACTTTGAAATCATTGTTCTAGTTCTGCACTTGGACTGAATATTTATGAAAATTGTGAGTGGTGATCATAACCTTGTGCTGCTGTTATCTGGGCAAGCCTTCACACCATTTTGCGCTGAGCAATGAATTCGTGTGAATTCTCATTAAAAATTGAGAATATTCTGAACTTATATACATGGGGCTTGCGCTCACCAATAACACATGCAGCAGCTTTTGTGAGTTGCACACTATTACATTGAAATAAAGGAATACTATTGCGTGGCAGTATTCAAGTGCTGCTGGGTTAGTTTTGGTTTTGCATATCTGATATTTGAGAAGAGATGAACACACCACAGTCTTAGATTACTCTTGTGTATGTCCTACATTTAGGGGTAATTCTGCCACAAAAGGGAGTGATAACAGAAAAAATCAAGTGATTGCTTCACTTTAGGCTACGCATGAATATGTATTTATTATGTATAAGCCTCAGTTGTACTGCAGTGGTTGATCATGATGCTCTGACTGCAGAGATGTGGCACTGATCGGCACTTGCGATAATGGCTGTCGGGAGATGGCTGACCGGCTGGGATGGAAGGTGAGTTGCTCTGCACACTATATTTTCGTCGTGACGTCGATGAAGGCAACAGTCAGCGTGTCAAAGAAGAAACCTTTTATTTGGCTGACTTGTGGCAGTGAAACTGAAGGTCAGATTACAGTGATAAACACACAACATTGGCTGCCGATCAACTCAAATAGTGAAGCCTGTCGGCATTTATACATGTGCTGTTAAATATGCAAGCATTATCACTAGCAGCCACGTAAGTTCCCGAATAATTTATATTGTTTGTATTGCGGGCATAATGTTAATCTACTATAAGCTTCTCGAACACTGCAGGTTGGGTTCGCAGTGAGCATTACTGACAGTGTAATGGGGCAATAATAAAATTGGGAAATAAACGTGGCATTGCCCTCCTCTGAAGAAAACATCATCCTGATGCTTTAACAGAAGATGAAAGTACAACAAATAAAAAAAGAAAATAAACACTAAGTACAAGCAATCAACACAGCTACAACAACAAAAAAGTCACAGTTTTGCCGCAAAGGCGAAGCAATGAACATGATAGCAATGAATTGGAAGGTTACGCACAGAATGGCCAGCAGATCGAAACATGCCGCGTGTTTTTCACGCACAAATAACGCCCGAAACATCCTCGCAGGTACAGATGAACATGAATAATCATCTGAGTTGTTACTTTGCTGGGTCCTAAAAGTGTGCTCTTTTCGCAAATGGAGACTGCAATGATTGCAGTGACCTTCGCACACCCAGTAACTACAATAGAATCGTTCCGGCCAAACCCAAAGGCTAACCGAAACGTATGATCTTCACCCCCATCTCTCTTACTTACAAATAGTATCAATAAATGTTTTTCGCCACCACCATCCCCATTGCAAGGTAAGGGCGCTCGATAAAGCGTCCACCCCCTTATTCTCTATGCGGGGCAAAGTACACGTTAGAGATGAGCGCGCGCCACTGCGTCGTGACTATGTGACACCACACGCTCATTGCGCCGTCTTGCTGGTAATGCTAAAAACATGATAGTTCCCCTTCAAAATGCCCAACACCAGCGGTAAGTGGTAGATACAAACAGCTTGCCATTTCAATGTTCAGGGATGTGCTCCTCCGTAGCTCAGTGGTTAACAACTCGCACTCACATTTCGGCGGTACCAAGTTCGATTTCGCGAGCCGGAATCTCATTCTGAATTTTTTTCTTTGTCGCATTTCCATATAAATAGATTTGTATACATATACGGTTAGTGACGCACATGCTTGTGGCAAAATCCAGCCAAATATGTCCATATAGTTGCTATCGCAATAAAATTACACTCCTCAGTCTTGTTATCGTGCATCAAATGGACGACTTCAGGTGGTGCACGGGGCCTTTGAGAGTTTATAATGCCCTCAGGGAACAACCTCGTAGTCGAGTGGGCCGAGACGTTGTACGATCCGAAGTATTGTCGCAGAAGTTTTAAACATATCACCGGACTCGTATTCCGCGAAACGTCAATGAAGATTCTAACGGTGGCTGTCAGTCGTCTGATGCGCCAGCGGGTGAATTGTCAGGTTTCTTCGGTGCGCTGAAGGTAGACAGTGATGTCAAAGTTTTCTTCGTCAGCGACATTGGGAAGCATAGCATCGAGTGTCGTTGCCAGTTTTTTCCGTGTACCAACTAGTGTGGCGTCATCTGCATCGTCTCCTGCATAGTCTTGTGGTATGCAAAGGTCTGGTACAAAAGTACAGGTGTCTAAGGTCTTATGTTCGAAGTCTACGTACATGGCTAGCATGTGGGCGATGGTCTTATTTAGACGCTCGATCAGGCCACTGGTTTGTGGGTAGTATGCGATTGTCCGGCGATGACTTGTTTGGGTGTATCTCAGGATTGCCTGAGTTAGGTTGGCAGGGAACGCCGACCTGTCAGGGATGAGAATCTCTGGGGCACTGTGTCAGAGGATGATGTTCTTAATGAAGATCATCCTCTGTCTAATGATGACAAGCAGTCAGCATCAGAGTGCTTTCGTTTGGACTTGTAAACGACGGTGATGTTGAATTCCTGAAGCTTTAGACACCATCTTGCGAGACGACCTGAATTGCCTTTTAATTTAGCTAGCCAACACAGGGCATGGTGGTCATTTACAACTTGGAAAGGCCTGCCATAGAAGTAAAGGCGAGACTTTGATGCTGCCCAAGTGATGGCAAGGCACTCCTTTTCTGTTGTAGAATAATTGGACTCAGCCTTGAATAGCTGCCGGCCGGCATAAATGATAACCCTTCCCAGGCGTCGGTTTTTTGCACAAGGACGGGGCCGTGTCCTGCACTGCTTTAGAGTGCCTCGATGTGCGCACCCCAGCTTAGAGTGTGGTCATTCTTTAAAAGGGTCGATGCCACCTCGCCTTGCGCGCACGCCATATCTTGGTTTGCGCCGCACTTTGTTGAAACGTGCACGCGATGCCTGCCACCTTGTCGCCAGTCTGATTTGTCGCGAGCCCCGCAAAATGACTGGATGTTGTGTGCCACAATGCATGAAACATTCTAGGAATGAATGGAAGATGTTTTCTTTCCCAAGCGATTCTAAAAAAACTATTATGAACAGTGAGAATAAAGCAGGAAAAATGGTGGCCGATGTATGCCTATTGTGTATGCAGCGTGATTATATTGCAAGCTTCGTTTTTATTCCATATCACCTTTCCTTTGTTATGTCGGGTACTTTTGGGACAATCAGCGTGTATATTACTACTAACGCAGTCATTGATTAGACTATTACAAGTTATGTGTGTAGTTTTGACTTCGATTTGGGGCCTGCATTTGTTGCACCATAATACAATCAAGTTGAGTGAACTGGTAAGGCCAAATGGTTTTATGGCATTTAAACTGTTCTCATAAGTTTGATGCTGTTTTCGAGGTGTGCTTGGAAATTGTACTTTCACTATCGAGGGCATATTCTTTTGTTATGTTTTTTAATGCATGAAGGTGTGATTATAAAATGGTCGCTCTTAAAAAAACGGCATCAATTCACTCCGAGTTGTGTTTTTTTGCGGAGCAAGAACTACAAATAGAAAAGTCAGTGTTCTAGCTCACATTGCTCGCGATAGCATGTATCGACACATGATACTCGCATTCCGTTTACCTACTACATATGCTGAATGCATCCGCTCGGTAATATATATACATTGACTCAATAATATACACTAACATTCACCGATTCTTTTCACATTTCATGTGTAGAGATACATGCAAGTGCATTCAGACATGTGTAGTGCGAACTTGCAGTGCGCAGTACCATGCCAAACTTGAGTTGTGACCTTGTGCAGTTTCCTACAAAGTTTCCCGTCATAACTGAAACTGCAGCCCCAGTATTATTAAGTTCCACAGTAGCAGTTCCATCAACCAAAACGTCTAGTAAATCGCGAGGTGACTGTACAGGCCTTGTAGAAATCGCGAAGCTGCCACTTCGTGCCTGGGGAACAGCAGCAACTACTTTCCCTCATGAGGGGTCTGCCAACTACGCAAGGGTTAAAGGGCCACTCACCAGGTTTGACAATTTTGAGCTGACAAACGCAATGCGTAGACGAGGCATTCATGACCATATCTGCCAAAATTTGCAATGCTACATGCCGCGGAAATGGGTCAAATTTCAAGATGAATGCTTCTCCCCCTCCCTTCTGCCAGCGCGTGCCCAGAAAATGAGGGCATGACGTGCGCATATGAATGGCCCTACGTACATGGCAATGCAGTGACATTGGTCCTCTACATAGACGACTCTGCTCTGACGTTGGAAACAATGGCACGTGACATGGCGAAAATCATTTAACACGGCATGCGTAGTTTATGCAATTCGTTGCTTGAAGAGATTAACAAAGCTCTAGATAAATAATGAGACCAATAAGGGAATGTGAGCGTCTGTTTTTTTTTTCTTCATTTTTCTCCCGTGAATTTCAGCAAGATGCAGGGCTAATGTGTCGGCGTTTCGCATGCCTTCGTGTACCCGCGGTCAGTGCATCGAGTAGACGATTGCCATGGAACGCACCTACGCGCGCACTCATTGTGCTCATCTATTCTACCGTGTCTAAGCCAGAGTTTCCAAATCATGCCACAGAAACAGGCAGAAGACCACAAAATAACGCTGGTCAACCAAGCAACGCCACTCGCGTGCTCGGGGGTTGGACTTGATGGGCACGTCATGCGCACGTGACCTCTTGATCGGGTGCCGGAGAGGTTGGGGAAGAGATTTGGCTTGCTAAGGCTACACGGAGGAGTGGCAGGCAAGGGTTTTGAGCTCACCTCCTCTCATCCTCGTTTGGCGCCACTTCAAAAACCCGTTTTTTTCGCTTGAGGTGAACCGATTCAAAAAATTTTTGTAGCAAAATGTTCCTCATCGGACACCCAATAACTTTCACTGTCCTAACTGAAATTTGGTATGGGGCCTGGTGGGGGGCCCTTTAAGGTGAGCGATGAAGTGGTGATGGGGAGCTATGGTTACTGGAAGGCCGTTGCAGAGGAAGCAAAAAGTCTGAGCTGATAAACTAGGTGTGACACTACACACGTGTGAATCCTCGTGGTCTACCAATCCACCAGAAGCACTCTGATGCCATGTGCTTGCCCGATCACCGATACCTTTCGATGTTGCTTCCACATCAATGTCCTTAGCATCTCTGTCACCCATCGGCATAGCCAACATGCCGGTCGAGCAGCGCAAGGATCTCACTCTTTCAACTATTGTGAACTGCTTGAGGATCCAACTACTGCTCTTTCTCGCACACTTCGTTGCCAAGCCGGTAATTTTGCGCGGCGAAACTATTTACCATATGTTTGCAAGTGGCTACTCATGCTTCTACAGCACATGCGTTCTGAAATATCTGAAAATTTTCATGCTGCTCCTGATAACGGTCATGCCAGTGTGCTGAAAAGGTATACACGGCTATAGCAACGCTTCTACTGGGTCGGAATGTACGCCTTCATCTGCCAGTACGTTCGTGACTGCACGACATGCCAATGATGAAAAGTTCACCAGCGGCCCTTTGCCAATATGCATCATTGCC